ATGGTCTCTCTCCAGTGTGGACTCTCATATGTGATACAAGGTTGCTTGACTACTGAAAATGTCTTTTTCACAAACATCACATCTGTACGGTCTCTCTCGTGTGTGGATTCTCATATGTGCTTTGAGTGAAGAAGACTGTGTAAATTCATTCCCACACTGATCACAGCTGTATGGTCTTTCTCCTGTGTGGATTCTGTAGTGTATTTTCAGTCCGGAAGCATTTGGACACACCTTTCCACACTGGTCACATGTGAACTCCATTCTGTTGGTGGATCTTGTAGCTCTGCATTAGAACAAAGGAAAGTGTCAAGTGAAATAACAAAATACACATAAAATACACACACTGATTCAAATGAAAGAATGTGTCAATGTGTGTTCTATAGGGTTGGGCGATATCCAGATATTGATACCGTTAAAACTTCTCAGGATTTTACTGGGTTATATGGTTTTACCATATTACCAAAATGTTTTAGTATGACTTTGGTAAACTACGAAACCGCACCGCTGTACGGTCTGTGTGTACGACCTGCAGACTTATAATCTCTGAAAAGTTACACATGAACCATCTTCAACACGACTGAAACACAGAACAGATTCAACATCTGCAGCACATTTTCTGTCACAGAAAGAACACTCATATTCCACTGAGCCGTGTTCTTTAGTCCGACAGAAGCTGAACCGCATCAGTAACACAAGGAAAGAGCTGTTTTTATCAGCTCTTATAGTTTATTCAAATGAGTCATGTGGTTTTAAGTTTTGTTTTTGTAAAACATAAACAAATGTGGCCTGAAGCCAAAATGCTGCCAAATTGCAGAAGTATTAGTACTTTTTTGGGGGAGGACCAACTGTCTTGTGGCTGGACTTGTCGTCTTGTCTTGGTCGTCCCTTATGAGCGTCACATGACAATGAAACAAACTAATCGAACGTCGTCTCCCCACACAGTTAAAAGAAACATTTTAGACACTATTAGTTTTAAATCGTGAAACATTAAACTGAAAATACAAACATTCATTTGTGCTGAGCAAACACATTTAGGTATCAATAAATTATAATATTATATTAGGTCTTTATATGCTGCAGATTTTTTTATGATGGTAATGAAACTGATCCCTTTGCTACTTTTTGATACTGCCTGTTACCGTAATACTGTATTACCGCCCAACCCTAGTGTTCTACAAGTAAGTTACGTTAAGTTGCATGAATCATTTAAGATGAGTGAGAAATGGAAAGACTATCGCACACTACAGTGGAGTAACATTAACATAATAACGATGAACAGAACAGTCACACAGAGTTCATTCAGGCTTCCTGAGGTGATGAGACACAGAGGTGACCACAGATGTGTTCTAACTTGTGTCCTGCTCAGTGAGGTGCACAGACATTTCGGGGGGCAGGTGCTCAGTGAAAAATAAGGACACTTTGTGACCATGTGGAACTATCGGCTGCCTTATTATAGTGTGTAATAGTGTAAAAAAAAAACGCCCTAAACGCCTCTATTTGGACGCCTTTGCATTGGAGTTCAGAAGCCCCGGTGTCTTGGACGCCGTGGACGAACGGGAGAAAAATACTTGACGCGCGTCTGTTTCCCGGGAAACAAGTGCCCGGTTCTGGTCTTTTCCCTTAACGATGGACCAGACTGAGAGAAACTTTAGTGTTTTTATTACATGAAACCATCAGCAGAGGAGATCAACTTGGCGACTGCGGCGTTTTTATATTTATACTCCACTAATGACACTGGATCAGTCATGGTCCAGTCCTGGTCCAGTCCTGGTCTAGTCCTGGTCTAGTCCTGGTCTAGTCTTGGTCTGGTCCTGGTCTAGTCTTGGTCTGGTCTGGTCTAGTCTTGGTCTGGTCCTGGTCTAGTCTGGTCTGGTCCTGGTCTAGTCTTGGTCTGGTCCTGGTGTAGATACTAATATCTCCAAAACTAAAGGCAGCACAAACAAAACTTTTTGCAGCACAAATGAAGCACAAATGATTGACATAGTTTTTGTGTGTGGGGAGGGGGAGCAGCATCGGGGCTTTATGATCACACACTTTTAATCATCCAGCATTTCTAGATGATGATGTCAACATGGACCACAGTACACTGTGAAAAAAATAATAATAAAAAACAAACTTTCAAAAGGGCATTTTTTGTACAGAGGGCAAAGGGGCAGGTGATTTAGCAGCACCTGGTGTCTGTCTGTGCACGACACTGGTCTATGACAAGCCAAACTGTTCACATTTACACCTATTTTTAACACGTTAACAACTTGTTTTGACGTGTCGAAATGTTATTTCACGCAACAAATAAGATTTATAATTATACATATGATAATGATCCTCCCATTGATTTTCTCAGTCAGTGAATTTAAAGTGTTTTCAGCCAATCACTGACAAAGACAAAGAGTCCAGAACAACAACACTGATGTCCCTGTGCACATTCTGTTCTCTTACAAAATAAACCTTACACTGTGTCAATTGTCGTTTATCAAATTTAAAACAGTCTCATCCACCTCAACGTATTTATATTTTCAGTATCATTCGATCATTAAACAACTGATTATTTAACTGTCCGTATACAAATGTCAAAAGAGAATATAAACACATGAACTCAGCCTGCGGCTGCTTCATTTTATGCTATTGCATTTTTTGCCCCCTACATGGCACAATAAGATGAGGAATGGAGAGTGATTTTTTTACATGTTGAGCTGTTAGATTTTAATAAACCTGTTTATGTTTAAAGAATGTCACAATTGAGCAAATCAGCATTTCTTCACAGATTTTCATCAAAGGCCACATGACTCTATCACATGTTCACTGCTGGAGTCTCTGGGGTTGTGGATAGACCATCACAGATCAGCCTGACGCTGTAGTGGGACAATGAAAACCTCTACAGACTCCAGTGCAGTGAGACAGAGCAGATCTGGTCCTTTCCATGCACCACTGAAACAATCATAACTAAAGGAGCGTTTGTAAAATCAGGAGTGCAGGTTGTATCTTCTACAACTTGTAGTTTGATCTTGTCCCAGTCTGTGGAGGCTCCTGTACTTGGCTGTGGTCTGCAGGGGGAGCAGCTCCAGTAAAAGGGACATTAGAGTAAAGAATGTGCAGAGGGAGATCGGTGTTGGATTATTCTGGACTCTTTTCACTGACTGGGAAAATCAGTGGGAGGAGATCATTATTTATTAAAAGATTTGAAAAAATCTAAATGCAGCAGGACGGTACAAATTATTACAAGTAAAAAAAAAAACACTGTACCATACAAAGCATGTCCATGAATAAGATGTAAAGATGGTAAAGACCTACAGCATCACAAAACTAATAATTATCCACAGCCCTGAACGTGAGATGATGTTTTTGTGGCCAAATGAAATCGCCCTGAACTTTTCCCCCACAAAACGTCCCACAGTTGAAATTGAGGTAAAATACCAGGGCCAAATTTAGTTCCCAGTCCGACCCTGGATATACTTACAAAAGTAGAGGTAGAAAGTTCTTGAAGTCCTTTGGAAGAATTCTTCTCTTTGTTGTTACCGTTTGATTTTAACCATGTTAATTCACCATCCAAATACAGACGTTGTTCACTCAGTGTTGAAAAACGTGTTGTCAAAGTCCGATCATTCACCTTTGCTCACATAAGAGAGGTTAATGTTTGACTTTGAGAAGCCGACTAGGCAGCAGGGACGTGTTTGAACTCAGGTCACATGTACCAGGCCTGGGGGCCAAATTTGATTCATGACATAATTATATTTGGCCCGTGAGTTCATATCAAATCTGTATCAGAGCTGCTACAGATCGACTATAGAGACATTATTTATTTAAAATGGTGTTTATTTTATATTCAACTTGTTCTGGATTCACTGTTTAATGCAAAACTATTATTAAACATTTATTTAATAAGAAAAGGTTTAACATTACAGATCTCGAAAGAAGAGAAAACATGCAGATGTTTTCATTTTTCAATAAATATTTTGGTTTGGCCCACGACTTTGTCCCTCTGTGAATTTGAGTTTAACTCCCCTGATCTATGTTATATTACATATGTTGTAGTATATATATATATATATATATATATATATATATATATATATATTATAGTATGTATGTTATAGTATATTTGTTAAAATATATATGTTATATGTTTTCAGGGCGGCAGTAGCTCAGGAGTGTTTGTCCACTGATCCAAAGGTTGATGGTTCGAATCCCGCTCTCGACATAAACATCATTGGTGGAGTGAACCGCTGTGTTGTGTATTTTGCCCAGAAGATCACCAAACCAGCCCGTGTCCGCGGGGTTGCTGGGGGTGCTGTAACACCCCCTAGTGGTGAGGGGGAGATTTTTTTCTTTTTAAATTCTTAAATTGTCAGACACTGCGTTCTTATATTATTTTATATTATTAATTAGACTACATTAAAGTGTATATGTCAATAAAATGTTGAATTTCAATCTATTTATATTTAAAACAGATTTTAAATAGGCCTATAGGCTAAGGTTAAAAAAAAAAAATTTTTTCATAGCAGCACATGTTAAAAATGACTTCCATTGGCCCTGGTCTTTTGATGTTAGTAAAAACATCGTGATAACCTTTTTATTATGCTTTTATCGACAACATTCTGTCCTTTTCATGCATGTGTTGGTTTTACACTGTCAGTGTTCAAAACAGGTCACAGTTGATCACTGCACTTCTCCTGCTTACAACAACTCATTATTATAACTCCTTCTGTTAGAGGAAAACCCTGGTCACAGTGGATATTTATATATGCTACATTCATTTAAAGGTCCAATAATACACAAAATTCATCCTTAAGATTTAAGACACGTTATAACTCTGTTCCCTCCTCAAAAACAGACCTAGAGTTGTATTTTGTTTCATTCACACACGTTTGAGTCACTCTTTATTTTTAATCTGTCTACATTTCCAAAGCTCCAAATGCTCTGTTCCACTTTGTGATGTCATGAGGCGGTAGTTTTCAAGTGAACAGCTCTTTTTACCTTTAGTTCAGTAGAGATTAACAAATAAAAAAATATCAAAATGGGCAAAAATCTCCTCAGTGAAGCCAGAGCGTTAAATCGCCATAGCAACAGCCCAAATTATTTATACTTCTATTCCACAAATACCACGTGAGAGCAAAGAGAAACTTTTATAACATGACAAAAGTTTTATTTATTTCCAGTCTCATAAAATGAACTCAATTTAATATATTGCACATGATTCTTCTACAAAATCTCTATAAAAACATATCTAAAAAAATCTTCTTACATTCTCCATGAAACTCTACGGACGTTATAACAAGTCAATAATAATAATAAAAATATATGTACAGTTTTGTAGTAGTTTGTTCAGAAGCGAGTTTCAGGCTCCATTCCCTGTGAAGACAAAGAGAGAGTTTTTTACTACTGTTTGTCTGTGAAACATTAAACATTAAACGTGTCATGATGTAGCCACAGCTGCCCTGGGGCAAACAGCTGGAAGAGTGGCTGTTAACGTATTTTTCAGACTAAGTCGCACTTTTTTTTCATGGTTTGGGTGTTTCCTGTGACTTATATATTAAAATGTTTCAGTGAAGTGTGGAGAGGTTCTAGTCTTGTGTGTGAGTATCTGCTGCTCCTGTTCCTCCTGTACCACTGTCACTTGGCTCTACTGCGCATGTCTCCAGCAGAAAGAGCCTCTGTCCTGTCTGTATCATGTCAGTCGATCGCACCATTACTTCTGCACCACTGAACAATTGTAACATTTAAACAAACTTATAAAGACGACTGAGAAGACTGAACACAAATGTCCCCAAAAACAAAATCAGATTTTGCACATTACAAACTGCAAGTTGTGAAATCTGCAGCTGAAAGTTATAATTGAGCAGCAGAAAGAAAGTTTGGAGTGAGCGAGAAACTTATGAGGCACAGGTGGAAAGCGGGGATAGAGAAGACGGCAAACAGGAGGATGCACCATGAAACTTTCCTGAAGTCACTGGATGGATGGACAAAGCCTGGACTTCAGTGACACCGAAACCATCCTGTTGGGATTCAGAAAGACCCGAATAATTCTAACTGGAATTGATGCTGAGTCTGACGACAGCGACACAGAAGAGGAAGCGGCGCTCTGTTTACCTCCGGAGGTTGCGGAATTGCCATGGATCTATAATAATGTATTATAGTTCTATGGGAGTTGTTCAGAAGTGACACCGAGGATGAAGAATTGAATGGATTTAGTGATTTGGAGTGAGATGGAGAGTTTGTTAAACTTGTTCTGTTGTTTATGTTATAGTTTATCTGAAGAACTGTTCATATGTGACGTTAACAGTCTGTTGTTCTCTCTTCTATTGTTTTTACTGGAACTTGACTTTACACAGGCAATGTTGGTTTAATAGTTCTGTGCAATTTATATATGTTTTTTTCTTCTTCATTACGCACTTTTTGGCTGGTGCGACTTATAGTCTGAAAAATATGGTAATTTATTTTTATTTAATAACCTTCATCACTATGGCAACACCATGTAAAATATGACATTGGTCCCATTTACTTTTTTGACCGGAATGACCTGAAGAGTCACTGTGCCAAATATCACATTATTCATTTACACTAATTATTCTGCCATTAAGGGGAATTTTTGGGATTGCTTCCATTAGAATAAGGCTTTCGGGAGTTCCCATGGCAACGCAAAGGTTTCTATTGACTTTTTTGATTAGGATGACCAAAGGGAATTTTGTTTACAATTCCGTATCTTGAAAAAGTAACTTTTTGGCTCCCCCGTACAAAATGTAGTTTGATTTTTAAACACTCACATTTCTGTCTCGGCTCCGGATGCTGCTGTTGGGATGGTGCACAGTCGCCGTGGTCATGATCTGCACAAAAACATGATTATTTTAAACGTTTCTGCACTCTGTTTCTCTAAAGCTTTTGTGATGTTTAAACATTTTAAACATGTACCTTGCTGAGGTTTGTCTTGCACTGGTTGGACTCCGGGTGGCGCTCCAGGATGTTCAACATGGCATCGTGAAGCGTGAGGAAGAAGATGGAGGGCGTGACCTCATCGTCGAAGAATCCGCAGCTGTGCAGTTTTTCTAAGATGTAGGCTAAAGACAACAGGAATATACAACAGGTTTAACACAGGGAGGCTGCAGTTTGGCCCAAGACATAATTATATTTAGTCTGTGAGATCATTTCAAACATGTATTAGAGCTGCTGCTGGATACAGATCGATTATAGAGACATTATTTATTTAAAAAGTTACTATTTTATATTCTACTTGTTCTAGATTTAATGTTTAAGCAAAACTATTATTAAACATTTATTTAAATAAGAAAAAGTTTAACATTGCATATCTTGAAAGAAGAGAAAACCTGCAGATGATGTTGAAATTTTTCCAAAAATATTTAGTTTGGCCCACAATGGTTCCAGTTCTTAATTTTGGCCTCTGTGAATTTGAGTTTGACTTCCCTGATCTACAGTATTTTCTGTCATTTGGACCTAATTTAGATCTTAGTTCTGGTTTAGTCCCAGTTGAAACCTAATTTAGCCTCAGTATAGTATGGGTTTGTCCCTGGTTTGTCATGTTTTATCCCTGGTTTCATCCTGGTTGAGTCCTGTTTTTTTGGGGGGGGTCATCCTGGTTTGGTCCTGGTTGAGTCCTGGTTTTGTTTTGAGTTTATCTTGATGTGGTCCTGGTGGAGTCCATCTTAACTTTGGTTTAGCCCTAGTTTAGACCTTAGATAGTTCAAGATTAGTCCTGGTTCAGTTTACTTACGATCACAAGCCACAATGTAAACCTCCACTTCAATCCGGATCAATTCTTTAAGCGCCTGTAAAAAAAAAAAAAAAAATTGTTAATTTTTTTCTGAGAGAATTGAGATGCAAAACTCCTCTTATGTCATTTCATGAGCCTTTTAAAAACAGTCTGATAAAACCAACATAGCACCAGCTGCCCTGATAGCCTGTAGACTTACAATCTCTATAATACTCCCTATAATTCTCTGTTATAGCAGTGTTGTGCTTGAGTCATTATAATCTATGACACCTGTAACTCACTATGTTATAATTTAGACATTTTAACTGGAATATTGATCTAAAACAACTCAATAAAAGAAACAAGAAGTGACTTTCTAAGACACAAAAGTGAACGTGTCGCTGTAAAAGAAGAGGACATGTTTGTCCACAAAATTGCAAAGATTTTTTTAGGTACCGTATTTTTTGGACAATAAGTCGCTTTTCCTTTTTCATGGTTTGGGTGTTTCCTGTGAGTTATATATTAAAATGTTTCAGTGAAGTGTGGAGAGGTTCTAGTCTTGTGTGTGAGTATCTGCTGCTCCTGTTCCTCCTGTACCACTGTCACTTGGCTCTACTGCGCATGTCTCCTGCAGAAAGAGCCTCTGTCCTGTCTGTATCATGTCAGTCGATCGCACCATTACTTCTGCACCACTGAACAATTTAACATTTAAACAAACTTATAAAGACAAAGACTGAGAAGACTGAACACAAATGCCCCCGAAAACAAAATCAGATGTTGTAGATTACAAGCTGCAAATCATGAAATCTACAGCTGAAACCAGTAATAGGGCAGCAGAAAGAAAGTTTGGTGTGAGAGAGAAACTTGTGACACCGGGAGGATGCACCAAGAAACTTTCCTGAAGTCACTGGATGGATGGACAAAGCCTGGACTTCAGTGACACCGAAACCATCCTGTCGGGATTCAGAAAGACCCGAATAATTCTAACTGGAACTGATGCTGAGTCTGACGACAGCGACACAGAAGAGGAAGTGCGCTCTGTTTACCTCTGGAGCTCGAGGTCGAGTAGCAGAACTTCCAGAGCAAATAAACCAGAGAGACTGATTCCCAACCAGAGAGATTCAAAAGAACTAATAGTTCACGGACCCACTAGAGTTGAGCATTTTTATTTATTTTTTACCAATAGGACTATGCATTGCTGTTGAATCTTAAGCGTATTACTGGAAAATTTGTAGAACGAAGTAAGTACAGAGCAGTGGACGTACTGGGGGCGGTGAAAACGGGGGTAGATTGGCAATATAGGCGAGTTTCAGCTGACGTCATTGTTATTAAAAGCCTGCGTTGCATGCTGGGAAATATTTTGGTTGGAGGCAAGAAACACGGTAGCGGTCAAACACAGTGCGTAACCTCGCGTATTTATCCCCGATAATGGTAAATTCCTGCTGTGTTATCGGATGCACAAATAGAAGCACGGAAGAAGGAAAATGTCTTTCATATTCTGAGTGAAAAGAACCTGCTAACGGTGAATTAAACGGCTTTCAAACATCCGAAGAGCAAATGTAGAAGATCCTAACAAACTGTGAACTCCAGCAAGTTCAACAACACATCGAGACTCTTGGAGGTTTTCATCTTTTCTGCTGTGAATGGCCCAGGAGTTTCCACCAAGTCATTGTGGATATCACCAAGTGAATATTTGTCCAGGTAGTTGGTGACACTGACCAGAAGTTTGGTTTGGTCCACCTTTTGTCGGGGTTTAAAAGGGTGATTTGGCTCCATCGATGCTTATGACCAATTTCTGGTCAAATGTTCTTGGGTCCTCTGCCGTTAGAGTGGATAAATAACCGCGATCAATACCCTTTACGTGCTTTCTCGCTCCGTCTGTCATGTTGAATTAGTGTTTATTGCCGCCGACCAAAATAATTCCCAGCATGCAACGCGCGCTTTTGTCAACAATGAAACTTGCCTATAGCATCTTAAAAATTTGTTGCACGAATCACTCCAAATACAACTTCAAGTGGGTAAATGAGAAGTAAACAACAATAACATAGTTAAAAGTTCTGAAAAGTCCATTTTGCGTCATAGATCAGCTTTAACAACCAAGTAAAAGTAATAATATTGACCCACGCACCGTTTTGAGTCCCTTCAGAGCGGAGACGTCGAGGAAGGACACAGCGGCGAAGTCCAGGACCAGGCTGTGCAGATCCACCGGGGGCACGTTCACGTTGACGGGCAGCTCCCCTCTCCAGTCCACCTGAATGGGCAGGTCCTTCAGGTCTGTGGGCAGGTCCAGCTCCTCCACACTGTCCTCGCCGTCCACCTCTTTGTACGGCTCAGGACACATGTTCAGGTAACCCTTCTGTGGAGAGGAGAGCGGAGAAACTTTAGAAAAACACAGACTTCAATGCATAAGGCTCCTTTAGTGAACATTTTATTTTGCACTACAGTGTTACGGTATTGTCTGATCTACAGTGGCCACGTTTACATGATGTTTTTTTATTCTGATTTAATTATTCTAAATTCATTAATCTGGAATTCAATTCTTCTTCTTCGAATTTACATGGAAATACCGTATTTTACAGACAATTAGGCGCTCTGGATTATCAGGCGCACTGTCATTAAATGGTCTATTTTCAAACTTTTTTCACAAATAAATCGCACTGGACTTTAAGCGAAACACAACAGTGTGATGGGTCGGTCAGACTTGAACTCGCTCGGACTGTTTGTTGCGTTCACAGTGACTCTGGGCTTTGTTCAATTGTGGCGTGTAGGGAGGGTGCTATCTGGGACCACTGGGACCGCTGACTCGGTCGCGATGACTCAGTTGGTCAGTTTTGACTCAGACTGGCACATTGCACTCACTTTTTCGGTTCGTTCCTCTGTTCCGTTCCTCGTCGGCGTGGAGTGATGAGTGTGTCTGTGGGTGTGTTTCGCTGTGCGGTCTCTGTCTGCTCCGTGTGTGTTTGTGTGTTCTGCGGGTGGTGCATCTTTATAGTTTACTGAAGTCGTGCTGGGACACCCGAGTGGATTCGTGTATGAGGCGCTCTGGACTGTGGGGCGCGTGGTCGTTTTTTGATGCGGTTAGAGGCTTAAGACCGCGGCTAATCGCCTGGAAAATACAGTAATAATTCTGAATTGAGGTTTACATGGAAAACACGTTAAATCGACTAAACCGGTGCAGTTTATTTGTGAAAATGTTCGAAAATAGATAATTCAAAGACAGTTTGCCTTATAATCCAGAGCGCCCTATAGTGCGGAAAATACATTAGTCCTGGTTTAGATCTGTTAACACTGGGACATTTCTTGTATAAAACTCGGATAAATCACTGTTTTTGTATAAATGTGCTGGGACACAGGCTCAAAACTGGGACTGTCCCGGGTAAACAGGAACATCTGGTCACTCTACCTCAGTTCTTTATGGTCAGAAATGTATAAAAACAAGAAGCTTTATTGTGGCTTGTGGTAAAGTAAAGTTAGTCTGTGGTGGTTAGATTGCGTCATGAGTGTTTTTGAAGAAGACTCACAGGTGTACACGTCAGCTCTCCTTTCTTCAGCATCCTCCTGATCACCCTCAGAGCTTTGTTCCTCTTCCTCAGAACTCGCAGAGGGTTAAACCCGAGCTAAAACAAAAAATAATACACAAAACCTTTAACCACATCACAATACGGTCACAGTTAAAGACACAACATGTGACACTCACAGCTTCCACCAGTTTGTTTCTGAAGAAGTCGATGTTGGCGAAGAATAATGGTGCTGGAATCCTGAAGATCTTCATTCCCTCAGGCTCAAAAGTCTGAACATATAAAATACAATTACAGTTAGTTAATTACATTAATTATGGACTGGAATTGTAATATATACAGTTCTAGCAGCTCCTTCAATGGACAAACACAAAAAAATATTGGGTTATTTTAAGTTGGGTTTGTTTTTTATTATAGATCGGTTCGGGGGGAAAGGGGGCGTGGCTTGGCGGCCATTATCCACCTCCTTCCAGTCACGTACCACCTGCCCCGAGAGAAACGGCTTTTAACGGTATTTAACATGTTTTATTTATTTATTTATTTTTGTTTTGTTTTTTTGCAAATATTTTTGTGTTCATTGACATAAAATGTGACTTTTCAAAGAGCTTGTACTCATTTATGTTGAACACTGTATGTCTTATATGTTTCCACAGTGGACAGTTTAGTCCAAGCAGATTGAGGTGTGATCAGAGTTGAGCTTTTCTGTCACTTCACCAGACTGAAGCCTGAGCAAGTGTTGATGCAAGTACGTACAGCTTGTATATTTATGAACATAGGTTTATACTTTAAAAGTGACATAGTGCAGCTTTAAAGCACAACACTCACATCGAGGTAGTCCTTCTTGTCTTTGTAGATGTCGGTGCCTTTAATGTTGGCGAGCACAGAGCAGCGAGGGCTGAGGACACAGGCACAGGTTAAAAACAGGTTTATAAAGATGATTTAATATAATAACATGATAATTATAAAAGAGACTGACAACTGCGTTCGGAGAACCACACTGATGAGTTCTATACCCAGACCAACCCCTAAACCCAGATCCAGACCGAGCAAGATGGACGCCACACAGGTCCCGACCCACACCACCTGAACACAAACAAACAATCAAATCATTAAAATAATGAAAACTTTCTTTTTCTCTAAATGCTCTAAAGTGTGAAACTGAAAATTGACTTTGAGTTGATAAAAACAATTCATCTTTATTGAAGATAAACACCTCTTTTTTGCAATCTGAATTTTAAATATATTTTCTTACACAGTCTGGTTTGTCTCGTCTCCACAGATACGGCACCTCTCTGACCTGCATCAGCATCCCTTTAAGATTCACGATCACCACGGCCCCCAACACAGACTGGAACACAGGACACAGAGGTAATGTTTATACTAAAACATGGCAGTAAATATCTTCATTTTAAATGTCCCTGTATTATGTAAGAATAAACTAAGGGTCACTGGGTCCTGATTGTTACAGACTCAAATGTCCAGCAGAGGGCAGTAGAGCCTCTGCTGCTGGTGCACAAGTGAGTGACACTAACAGGCTGCAAATAAAATGAGCTGGTCCAGAAACACAAATTAAAGCTGCATTGAAGTAGTTTTGGTCATAAAGTAAAAGCCTGTACGGTGAAGTAGAGCTGCCGCATGTATAATTAAACATGGTTCTGTTCATGATGTGTGTGTGTATATGTCCCCAGTTCTGTAACTCAGATGTTGTGTTACCTTTGGCAGAGGCTCCAGTAGAAACCCTATGGCCACAGTGACCACCATCACGATAATGGCGGACAGTAAACCTGCGACCTGCGTCTTCCCGCCGGTGCTCTCCTGGACGGCGCTCCTGGACAGAGCCGTACTCGCCGCAAAAGATTTGAACGAAGCTCCGAAGATATTACTGACTCCGAAGGCGATCAGCTCCTGGAACAAAACACAAGCTCCATTTAAAGAGTCGGTCAGGTCAGTTTGTTCTGTTTGTAGACTTATTTTTGTGTATTTTCTTAAATATCTATTCAATAATTTAAGGGAAACTATTATTATTATACTCATAAACCAGGTTTAAAATACGTCTAACTGCGGTCAATAATAAATATCCTTACTACTGCATGTCAGTGAATGCACCACTCACTTGTGCAGCACTCGTGAGATTGAGTCGGCCAATTGTGTGCATAGTAGTGTTGTGTACAAGCTGCTCACCTCCCTCCATTCACAAACGGGAGTGAGGCGAGACAGGACGGCTGCACAGTATCATGTTACAAACTGTTGATTATTTTTCACTATATATAAGTAAGTAAATAAGTAAGTTTTTATTTTTATAGTGCTTTTCAAAGACATATGTCACAAAGACTCTTTACAGAGCATTATTCACTAACTTCACACTTGGTGACGGTAAATTACTTTGTAGCCACAGCTGCCCTGTGGACAGACTGACACACTCCACTTTCATACTGGGCAATGTGGGTGAAGTGTCTTGCCTAAAGACCCGACGACAGTTTTTGTGACTGGCGCCTCTTGTGGCTCCTGGAAATCCCAGTGTACCCCACCCCACCTACTTGTCTCCATGGAGATGTTATTTGTTTGCCCGGAAAATTCCACTATATGGCATTAAACCTGTTAAATCTTAAATCTGTTCCTATGGAGATAAACAAGTGACACCTCCAGGCAAAGTTAAAGGACACATCTGTGGAGAGGCGACTCCTCTTACATTATAAGAATACATGTTTTTCCCTTTTAAAAAACAAAACAAAAACTAAACACTCTTGTATTTGATTAAAGAGGGGGCATTTTGCGAAATAGACTTTTGGAGCTTTCTCCCTTTTTCTAACATTCCCTCATCAGAAACATGCCTGAAGAGGTTTTAGATATTCAAACCCTCCTTACAGTCAGCAGTAAGATTTTGTACAACCCATAAGTCTTAACTCACTCATGCTCTCACACGACAATTCTCCTAAAAATATACAAACGCATGATACAAAACTTGACACGCTGATCGTGTTATGATCGATATAACTTATTAAACATGTTTGTCTGTTGCTGTACCTGGTTTCCGTCTATGATGTAGTCGTGTTTGACTGAGTAAACTTTGGCCACAGAAAAGGCCACGGCGAATCCCACGATCGCCATGGGAAACGCGTCCACCGCCGTCTCCTGGAAGATCTCCAGGTTTGGAGCGACCGGAGCCTCATACCTGAAAACAAGAGCCAGACTATAACACTGAAACTACGCACTGGTTTTATAGAACATTTCTGCACATTTAAAGAAGATATTTTATGCTTTTTTAAATTATAGTAATTATCTAGTAAACATTAATCATTGTTTTACATTTTGTTCATAAACCACTAGAGTGAACTAAAACGAAAACATTTCTAGAAAGTCTTCATAGACTTCTATCTCCATAGAGACAGGCCAAATTACAGCTCAGATCTGCGGAGAGGACAATCACATGCACAGTAAAAACATCAGTATCTGGTAGCTGAACCAAAGAGAGCGTTGTGTTGTTTTCAGTGGTTTGTGATCATTATTGCAAAATGCCCCAAAAAAGTTTTAGCATTACTTCCTGAATACTGGCCTAGCCCCATAGTCTGATTCATCTGCCGGTTTCATTTCGTAGAAACCGTCTGACCTCGCAGTGTTAGGATTCATTCGCTCGACAGTAGGCGGGTACTCTTTATCATTTAACCAATCGCTGCTGTTTGATCGTGACGTATGTAATGCGCTGCTAACTGGACTAACTGGTATATTAAGATTTTTCCAAATCCCGTAGGAAGAAGGACAATAAAGTTTTTCCCCTTGATGAAATTCACCAAACATTCTCTTTGTTCTGGCTTTAAATCTTTGATCTCAGGAATCGTTGCCAGCACAGAATATATGTCTCTTCGCTGATTGGCTGGTGCCTGAACTCGCACTTCCGGGGTTTTTGCGAACCGTCTAGTGTATTCTGATTCCTGATCTAGTCGCTGGAGAGAAATGAACTTGAGCGGAGGCATGACGTGGTGCCAGCATGACTATTAGCCCCAACCACTGTGTGATGAAACATGTATCACATGATCAGTTCTGACCAATCAGAGCTATGCAACTAAATTGGAGCTAGCACGGGCTCAGAGCAAAGATAGGCTAGATCTTACGAAGCAAACTTTTAGGTGCTTGTAAGAAGAGAAGAAGAAGAAGAAGAAGAGTTTCATGTTGTGACATACAGAAGAACCCTACAAAACCCGACCTCAGTGAAAGTTGTAGGTCCCTGTCAGCTGAACATGCACAGTTTGATTTCACATAAATTAGGGTGACCCATATTTCCATTTGTGAAAACCCGGACACCTTACCACGGGTGGGAGGTGGGGCCTCGACATTGAGCTACAGTCATCCCTCATTATATCGCGGTTCACCTTTCGTGGTCTCGCCGTTTCTAAACCAGGACTAATCTTGGCCTTAAGAGAGTGAACGCTGAGCAGTTTGTCCGCAGAGCGCGATCGGGCAATTGCCGCGTTTACCTCCGTGAGGTGCGGAGCTGAGCCGGTCCTTTCTCCTGTGGTCACCTCCGAGCCCGTCCCGACAGTGAGTCCTGTTTCAGTTCTGGTTTAGTCCTGGTTTACTCCTGTTTTACTGCTAGTTCAGTCCTGGATTAGTCCTCTTTAGTCCTGTAATCAGTCCTGGGTTAGTCCTGGGTTAGTCTTAGTTCAGTCCAGAGCTACGAGAGACGCTCAGTTTAATGCCCCCAATGAACGGTAATGAAAACCCGGACATTTGCATCACTTAAAAAAAAAAAAAAACCCGGACGCCCTGGACAGGACGCAAAATACAGACATGTCCAGGGAAAAAGGGACGTTTGGTCACCCTAACATAAATGCATTGGGCTCTATGGGAGAATTCTTTTTGAGCTGGAGCTTGTGGGAGCTGCAGTACCTGGAATAGCCACTAGTTGACAGGAGTTTTAATTTTTTAAATGATTTTAAGTGAAAAGAGAAAGGGGGTGGAGACAGGGAGGAGGTGAAAACAGACTCAAACCTCATATGTAGGACAATACAGAATTATTCAAACAAGCATGAATGAAATAAAATAAAATAAATAAAATAATCTGTGGAACATTCCAGGCTGAACAATAACACTTATAGAATATATAATTGACACATATGGACTTTTATAGTAGGGGACACGTCACCTGTTATCTGTGTGTTGTAGATAAACTGAGGTATAGACATAAAGATACCAGGCAGTTTAGAGGAGATAGGAAAAATATATGTTACTGTATTCACATTCAGAAAACATGACTCACCCTTTGGGAATCACACCCACAACCCCGATGCCGTATTTGGTCTTGAAGTCAAACGCATAGGAAACTCCACAAGCGATCACCGTCTGAGGAAAAAACACCATTGCATTTGAATGGTTTCATTTAAATTTTACAGAGGTTTCCTTTTTTTTTTAATGTCTGGTAAAATAAACCGGGACTAAACCTGAACTAAAACAGGACTAAAGTAGGACTTAAACAGAACTAAACCAAGACTGAACCATTACTAAAGCAGGAGTTTAAAATGAACTATAAACTGGACTAAACCATGACTAATCCTTGACCAAAACATGTACCAGCACCAGTACCAGACCCAGACTAAACTAGTACCAAACCAGGACCAAACCAAGACATTTTGAAGCCCAGGGTCAATGGGGCATATAAGAAATGCCGCCCTGTTGCACCACTGTCTCATAAAATCTTGTTCAAAAACATGTACTTTCTTTTATGACTCTCAATCAGACACCACTGTAAGGAATGTACTTTATTGTTTGTTTTTACAGGTGAGGTAGGGTCATAGACGCAGGACTAAACCAGGTCTAAACCAGGACTATCTAGGTCTAAACCAGGGCTAAACCAGGACTAAACCAGGACTAAACCAGGACTAAACCAGGTCTAAACCAGGACTAAACCAGGTCTAAACCAGGACTAAACCAGGACTAAACCAGGGATAAACCAGGTCTAAACCAGGACTAAACCAGGACTAAACCAGGACTAAACCAGGGATAAACCAGGTCTAAACCAGGACTATCTAGGTCTAAACCAGATCTAAACCAGGTCTAAACCAGATCTAAACCAGGGCTAAACTAGGTCTAAACCAGGGCTAAACCAAGGCTAAACCAGGTCTAAACCAGGACTAAACCAGGTCTAAACCAGGACTAAACCAGGACTAAACCAGGTCTAAACCAGGAATAAACCAGGACTAAACCAGGACTAAACCAGGACTAAACCAGGTCTAAACCAGGTCTAAACCAGGACTAAACCAGGTCTAAACCAGGACTAAACCAGGACTAAACCAGGGCTAAACCAGGCTAAACCAGGTCTAAACCAGGACTAAACCAGGACTAAACCAGGACTAAACCAAGTCTAAACCAGGTCTAAACCAGGGCTAAACCAGGACTAAACCAAGTCTAAACCAGGTCTAAACCAGGGCTAAACCAGTACTAAACCAGGACTAAACCAGGTCTAAATCAGGGCTAAACAAGAATTCAACCAGAACTAAACTCGGACTAAATAAAACATATTAGGACAAATTCAGGACTAAATGTAAAACCAGGACTAAGACAGGACTAAACTAGGTCTAAACTAGGACTAAACCAGGACTGACCATGATCACTTCTATGGGGATGGGCACGGGCAGTTTGGATTTGAAGCGGTCGTTCAGCTCTTTCACGATAAACACCACGACCATGATGACCAGAGAGATGACCACATCACACACGTTTGTGGAGCCGATTTTGTTGAAGATGACCTCCAGAGTCTGCAACACAAAACAAGCAAAGCAAACTATCTGAATATATAAAAAACATACAGTATAATCATCAAATAATCTTGACAAAAAGTTAACAGATGACAACAAATATTACGGTGCTAGTTAAAAGACTTTTTTATCTATAACTAACTACATTTAACATGGTGGGGATGAACTCACATCTGTAAAAGGCTCTAAATTAACATGTTACACCTCATTGAAGAACTTAGCTGCATCTAATAATCTAGTGTTTTATTGTCGGGTAATCAGGCAGTACATGGTTCACATGCTAGTTATTTTTAATATTATCATGACTAGGGATGGGCATTCGATTACATTTTCTTAATCGATCGTCGGGAGAATTAACGATCGATTACTCATCAACATTTTTATATTAAAATGATCATCATTATTATTACTATCTGCACTACTAATCTGCATAAATAAATTCAACTTTACGACATATAAACCGTAACGACTCTAGAGCCACATCAGCCCGTTTGACATTATAATGTGTTTAATGCAGATTTGTGCAAGTCTCACAGAAACAAAACTTAAAACCACATGACTCATTTGCATAAACTAAGTGAAGATAAAACTACAGCTCTTGTGTCGCTGATGCATTTCAACTTCTGTTGGACTAAAGGACACGACTCAGGTGAATACAGGTTAGTTTGACCATATTTGTGTTTGTCAAAACCAGGACACCGTACGGGGGGAGGGAGGTGGGGACTCGTCATCCACATTGAGCGACTCTCACCTGACAAAACTTTTTAATGTTTTTCGGTGTCCTGGTGCTTTGAATTTCCCTGACATCTCCACTGGACACCGACACATATGTGCTGCTTTGTACACTGTGCACATGGCCTCACACTTGTCTCAACTGGGACGGAAAACCTGGAATTTCTTGTACAAGCCATTGTTAAATGTGCATTTGTGCTTCGGCATGGTGCAGGCTGACCGACTGTTGGTGTCTGCTCACTCCTTCTGATGCACAGAGAGCTACGAGAACTGCTCAGTTTAATGGCCCAATAAAAGAAAATGAAAACCCGAACATTTGCATCACTTTATAAAAAAGAACAACCCGGACAGCCAGGACAGGACGTGAAAAACGCGCATGTCCGGGGAAAATCGGACGTTTGGTCACCCTATAAGCCACCACGCACAGCAACCAAAATTATCGACTAATCATGCCCATCCCTAATCATGAATGTAAAACACTCTGATCTCTGAAAGTTGTGAAAAGTGCTTATAAACTCATTATGGTGAATAATTAGGTTGCTCAGAATACATAAGATAAGTGAGGAGTAACTTTGGACCACTGCTATCTGTTTAAAATTAACTATTTTCTGTATCTTATTGTATTATTATTTTTGTATGTTCATTTTTTTTGTAAATAAATAAAAGAAGAGTAATTGAATAGAAAATAGAGAAAAGTTGCATGTAGTTTCACTTCCTTATCAGGCTAACCTACATAGGCCCAGTGCCGTGGTCTGTATGAGACTCAGGACACAAACATTGATAAAACAACAGTTATCTCACTTTGATGAGCGCCAGAGGTCCACTGATGCCCGGGACCGTCAACCCGAGCACGAACTTCAGCTGAGAGACCAGGATGTGAACAGCCGCCGCCGTGGTGAAGCCAGAGACCAGAGTATCAGACAGGTACATGACCACGAAGCCCACCTGGAAGATTCCCATCGCCAACTGAGAAAACAGAGAGAAGACTGGTCTGAACTGGGTCTAAACCGGGTCTTAACCAGGTCTTAACCAGTTCTGAAACAGGTCTAAACCAGGACTACACTTCAGACAGGTACATGACCATGAAGCCCACCTGGAAAATTCCCATTGCCAACTGGGAAAACAAAGAGAAGACAGGTCTGAACCGGGTCTAAATAGGGTCTGAACTGGGTCTTAACCAGTTCTGAAACAGGTCTAAACCAGGACTACACTGAGACCAGAGTATCAGACAGGAACATGACCATGAAAGCCCACCTGGAAGCTTCCCATCACCAACTGGGAAAACAGAGAGAAGACTGGTCTGAACTGGGTCTAAACCGGGTCTTAACCAGTTGTGAAACAGGTCTGAACCAGGTCTGACTGGTGGGGTTGAGGTTTAAGGTGTTACCATGTCTGGTTTAAGCAATGACCATGACTGTTGCCAAATGTTTCTCCCCAGTGTCTCTCTGGGAGTTTCTGCTGCAGTCTGAGCAGGGAGGTTTCCCTCACCCCATACACTTCCTCCAGATCCTTCAGAAGGTGTTCCCAGGCCAGCTGAGAGACACGGTCCCTCCAGCATGTCCAGGGTCTCCTCCGGGGCCTCCTCCCAGTGGGACATGAACACTTCCCCATGAGTGAAGAATCCCTCAGTCGTCCAGGTAGAATCCATGGCGAAGAGAAAATTCAGTTTGTCGACTGCACAAAAGTTAGTTTGGTTGAAGATGTTTTGCAGCTCATCCAAGTTCAACTGAAGAAGCAGCTTGGATGAACTGCGAAACATCTTCAACCAAACTAACTTTTGCCCAGTCGACAAACTGAATTTTCTCTTCACCACACTTCCCCAAGGAGATATCCAGAAGGCATCAGGACAGATGCCCTTGCCTCAGCTGCTGCTCTTCACGCAGAGGAGCAGCAGCTCTATAGTTCAATGAGAATCATTTGGTCTTCCGATATTCTATGTTATTAGGTTCTTTTTTTCAGACCTAGAGTTATTTCATTCACGTGACCACTCTGAGGAAGACGCCAGTGAGCAGTCGAAACTGTCAGGAATGAAATAACACTCTAGGTCTGAAAAAAAGAACCTAATAACATGGAGCAGCAGCTCTACTCCGAGCTCCTCTCATGCTCCTCACCCTGTGTCTGAGAGTACACCCACCCACCTTTCAGTCACTGCCAAAAGCTCATGAGGTGAGAGCAGGAACACAGTTTGACCAGTAAATCGAGAGCAATATCTGTCCTGTCCAATGAAGCCAGAAGAATACAGGTCTAAACCAGGTCTGACCCAGGACTTAAACAGAGCTGTTGTGTTACCTGCATGATCCCTGCAAGGAAACTGATGGAGGAGGCCACCAGCACCCTCTGCTGGTCCTGGGTCAGACCCTCAAACCCGGTGATGTTCATGGGAGGAGCATCGTCTGGGACTATCCTGGTCACCACAGAGCCAATCATCAGACATAACACCGGGAATGGACCTGGAATAAAACGGTCTATTTTAGTCCTGGTTTAGTCTTGGATTAACCCTGATTTGGACCTGGTTTAGTTCTCGTTTAGTCCTAGTTTAGCCCTGGTTTGGACATAGTTTGGACCTGGTTTAGTCTTGGTTTAGTCTTGGTTTGTTAAGAGTTCTAAACTTTGAATCATACCGACGGAGATGTGCCGAGAAGTGCCCAGGAAGAAGTAAATGACGACGGGGAAGAAAGCGGAGAAAAGCCCGTACCAAGGAGGAAGAGAGGCCAGCAGACAGTACGCCAGCCCTGCAATCAGAACAACATGCACATTTTAAAGGTCCGATATTACACAAAATGACAATATAATAATAATAATGATGACGATATGCAATTAACATGATCTCTCTGGTGTGGAGCTTTTTCAGTCTACCACATATTTAAAGTGACAACATGCTTGGAGTATCTCTCTTAGTGACGGGCAAATGAGTCGGAGCTCCGGAGCACGTCTCGTTCTTTCTGAAACAAATTGCTCCGAAGCACTGCCTCGGAGCTCGTCTCGCAGCAGCCGCTCACGTGACCGAAGCGTCGAAGTGTCGGTCCCACCCCCTGCTGCTTCGCTCTGTGTGTCGATCGCTTCAGTGTATCGAAGCGTTTCATTGGCTCGACGAATGTTCCGCTCTGCGATTGGTTCAGAGCTTCAGAGTGTTCAGAGCACTTCCGTGGTTTGACGAGCGCTAAACTGCTACAGTATAAAAGATGTACCAATATTTCTAAAAAATGTTGGGTAGTGAGGAGTATTGTGTGACGTTAGTGGTGATTTTGGCGACTTTTGGCATTTGTCTCATTTTCTATGGCATCTACAAGTGGAAAAAAGCGATCCATGGTTTGGGATCACTTTGATTTAATTCCACCTAACAAGGTAACACCTATTTTCTTATTTACAGCATGTTATTTATGTTGCTCATTACATATTATTTTAAATCATCATTATTATTTTTGTTGTTGGTACGGTGTCGCTCTGCACACAAGTATTATCTTATTGTTAAATTTGTCCACTAGAGGTCAGTGTTTCTTCGAGGCCTCAGACACGTCGAACCATTTGAGACAATATTGGAACTGAGGTGTCAATGCTTCACGAGGCTCCATTCGCCCATCACTAATCTCTCTGGTATAAAGGTGCTCTGCGTAATTTTTCAGCTGGAAGTCTGACCACTGGTTTGTCTCCATGGAGATATTATTGTTGTTGACGTTCCACAGTAAAGCATTAAGGGTCGGCAATTCCAGAGAATGACATAAAACTGATCAATCTCCCTGGAGAATGTTCCATGGTTTAGTTTTAACCTTGTCATCTTTTTATGCAACGCTGTTTTAATTAAGGAGTGTTGGGCTTTGGTAAGACAGCATCTGTGATAATTAACTTAAAGTGGTGAAGTATTCTTGAACGTAAAGTAGTAGTTTGTAGTACTGGTACCTTGTAGTACAGCGACGAGGCCGGTGCTGACTCCAGACACGATGTCACTGAGCAGCCATTCCTTCACTCTGTAGATCTTCATCCACCCAATGATCGGGAGGAGAGAGAGGGCGGCGGAGCGGGCACGCCTACTGTTGCACCTGCACAGGTAAAGACACGCCCACTTTTACATCTATACAGGTAAAAACACGCCCACTTTTACATCCAAACGGGTAAAGACACGCCCACTTTTACATCTATACAGGTAAAAACACGCCCACTTTTACATCCGAACGGGTAAAGACACGCCCACTTTTACATCTATACAGGTAAAAACACGCCCACTTTTACATCCAAACGGGTAAAGACATGCCCACTTTTACATCTGTACATTTAAAGACACGTTCACTTTCTCCTGTTTCACCTGTAAAGTTGCTGTCACACTTGCACAACCATATTTTACAATGAAATCTGATTAACAAGGCTCTGTAAAATCTTGGCCCTGTAATCACACCACATAAAGTGAGTTATTTTAAACTCGTCGTATCTTCTACTATGTTCTCTTTTCATATTTACAGACAGTTCAGACTTATCAAATGTTATTAAGTGATAAGAGATTGCTCACTGTAAAGATTATGTGTCCACAGTGTGAAGTCATAAAAGAGTTCTGTTGTTTTTGAATGGAACGATGTCATAAAATGAACATGAAAATAATAAAAAATATAGCTGCAAACGGTAATGATCAGCCCACATGTGCGCCTATGCTGCGCCCCGCAAACGCTGCGCCCCTCAAACGCTGCACCCCTCAAACGCTGCACCCCTCAAACACTGCACCCCTCAAACGCTGCACCCCTCAAACGCTGCACCCCTCAAACGCTGCACCCCGCATTAACCTTAACAACCACAGACACCAACCACAGCTCCACCCACCCCCGAGCCCCAACCCTAACCTTAGACGTAACCCTGCTGCACGTGTTGATAAAAAAAAAAAAAGCAAGATTGCGGACTTCCGGGTTGTAAAGGGGCGTGGTCACAATATAATTTTTTAAAGTTTGTGTATAGATGTTCCATTGGCAAAGACAGAATTTTGGCTTGCCGCCATGGCAACACAACATAAATTGTGTGTGGGCGTCACTGAGTTTTTTAATCAAGACCATATCTCAAACGTGCGTACCAAATTTTGTGTATCTGTGACAAATAAAATGTTGTTGTCCCATTCAAATTGTCTAGGGGGCGCTATTACACCCATTTTTGTATTTTTTTTATTTCATTTGTTCAGGGTCGGGGTGTGAGCCCACGATTAAAATTTGAATGAAATCGGCGATTTATCGTTTTATCAACTTTAAACCAATATTGCTGCCCCCTGGTGGAGTGCACGGTGTTGGTGTAATAGTATTTTTTCCTTGTCTTGTCATGATCTACTTCTGTGTCAAATACAAAAGTTAAATTGTGCTCTACAAATAATCTTGCCTTTGCCTGTAAATTTCAGCTTTTTAGAATTTATTGAGAAATATGGGGAAATAATTTGATCAAAAAACAATAAACACAAAATGTTCAAAATGTTGATTTATATTGCACTTTTTTACTTTTTTTTTTTAAATTTAGAATGTATTTAGAATTTAGAATTTTAGAATTTATTTAGTCATTCTCAAAAAATAGCATTGCTATTTCTACTAAATAAAATGAGGAAAATACATTTAGAAACTACATTATAACCAGGGATGTACACATCCAGATTTTTTTTTGAGTGTGCCTTTATAAAATTATTCCATGGTGAATTTAGCCATAGTTGAATAAACTATATTAAAAGCCCTACTGTTTTAGATTAGATTTTTTTTAGATTTTACTGTATTATAACAAATTATTCATTTAATATTGTAAAATATCTTAAACTGCTCCACAGTACAGCAGCTTCAGAGGCTTTAGGTGAATGGTGACACCATAAATTGATTCATGTTTGGGGCCTGTAAAAAGATGAGAAGCCTGAATCAAACAGGTACTTAACATATGTAAACAAGTCAGTGCATTTGTCCAAAGTTTGGTTTTCAATCTTGAGACTCTGTGGAGCCATTGCCAAAGTAAAACAAACACTCTCTCACTCTCATTATACTTGTTTTTTATATCACTTTAGAGCTTCCTCAGTCAGTGTTTAAGATGCTCTGGGCGTGAGCTGCGACTGCTCTGTGCAGAGTATCGGCTCTTCTAAAAACGCTTAGATCGGCAGTCGAAACCAATACTAGTATCAGATCAGGACAACCCTGATTACAATTTACCGTAAGGCCCAAGAAAAACACATTTCTTCTCACTTTTTTGAGCTTTTGAAACCAAAAAAAGTTCCGAGCTTTTGTTGGTTTCAAAAGTTTTTGTAATAATAAAGATAATTTCTATAAAGTTAAGTTAAAGAAATTATATTATTATAAAAAACTATGTTTTTAAGATACAATTTATTCACTGTTAAGTTATAGTAAATGTAATTTCTATCACTTTATCTTTGTCAATGACCAAACCCATAAAAGTTCCAAAACATGCGTCGTACCTGAAATAATCCGTGACATGGTTGAGGAGGGTTTTGCGCTGTCTGTAGATTTTCTCATAATCTGCGTTGAATCTATCCTCGGAGTAGATGTTACGGGCCACCACGTACTCCGCCATCTTCTTCTCTGCCTCCTCTTCCTCCTCTGCTCCCCTGGCTCTGCTCCCGTCTGCTCTGTCTCTGCTCCTCTGGCTCGTCTTCTCGCTGGGCCAGTGTTTTCTCTGGACCCTGTGACTGGACAAATCACATTATGACACTTTGAACACACCTTATCAAAGAACATTACAGACAAACAGATCGCTGTAAAGAAGGCAGCGACACAAAACAGGGACGCACCAGGACTGGACACTCAATCAGAACCTTTTCAAAATAGAGAGATGACAAACGCCTGTGACCTCAGCGCAGATTAGACACAACTGATTCAAGAAGAAGAGTCACTGTGGTCATTAAAAGGCTCATATTGCACTTTAAAAAAAAATCAGTTTTCTTCTAAAGTTGAATCACGTGAAAAGGTTGAGTTTGTGTTTTTGTTCCTGTTACAAAAAGCCAAATCTCTGGGGTAAATACTTCCAAAACTGTGTCTAACTTTAACCTTTTTTGTTAGAAGTTTTTGTTAGAAAATAGATCACAAACACACTGTATTAAAGGTTCATTACGTAAAATTTCTGGTTGAGAATCTGCAGTCGTTATTGCTTAGCCGACAAAATGTGCATTTATTCACTAAGGCGTTATTACTGCTAAAAAATAACCTTAAATGCATTCTTATTGTTCAGCTCCCCCATAGATCTGACATGTCATTTTGCTCAGTGTCTAATTAGTTTAAGTCCAACACTCTGGAACATTCTAAACGAAGCAATAATATCTCCATGGAGACGAGCAGGGACGGTGGTGCATACTAGAGCAGAAAATGTACTGAACCATGCAACAGTTGGAACTTTTTTTTTAGTTTATTTGTGTAAACAGAGAAAACATTTAATTTTTCAGTGGTCCGCCGCTCTCTTATTGTCATGGAGATAAGATTGTTTTGCCTGGAATGTTCCGTATATATATATATATATATATATATATATATATATATATATATATATATATATATATATATATATATATATGGTATTAAACACAACTTTCAATCAATCATCAACATAAAACATAAAGCTCCTAAAGGTTATAGTAAAAAAAAAAAAAAAAAAAGTAATAAAATTTTATAAATAATTGAGAGCTAAAATTAGATAAAGACTAAATAAAAATAATTTAATTTAAAACAAACATAATAATAATTTCATTGATATTAGTTTCAATTAAAAAGCTAAATTAAAAAGATATATTTAGAGATTAACTAAAAATATGAACACCTCAGGTCGACTTTTCAACAGACGGGGGCCGTAAAAACTAAATTACGCCTCACCGCGAATTTTAGTTTGGACTCTTGTGATTTTTTTTGCAAAGTAAAAAAAGAAATTATGCAATATAGATTGGTTTAATGCAATACAGGCAAATTACGGGAAAAGCAATAACATGTCAGACAAGCTGGTACACCATAAAACCATAAACCTCTACAATAACATTTCATAGAGTAGAAGATGTTTCAATTGTGTATCCTTCCCGGGTTAAGTATTGGTAAATTAAGTGAGAATCTTTAGAATTTTTAGCTTTGAAAATGAAACGTTTTCTCAGGGTAATAATTAAATCAACCAGGTCCATTCTGTTTTTAAAGCGTCCCATTAAAGTAGAGACTAAATCGAACTTAAAAACCAAACACATCTTCTCTGCATCCCTCCAAAAAGGTCAAAACTTTACACAATAGTTACGATTTGACAAATAAAAATAAAACATAACACCTTCTAAAAGTCTCTGTATTTTGGATGAAGTTGAACCAAGTCAAAATTAGAAAAAAATTAATCTGTTAAACGCACTTAAAACCAACAATAAAACCTGTAATTTATCTATAATACAGCCTTTAAGCCCCGGTATAGTTGCGTACCTGTAGTAGTGCGTTGGTTCGATTCCCGGTGCCCTGTTGGCGTCTCAGACTCCACATGCAGACTGTCTGAACGTGAACACTGCACATTGATAAAGAGCCGCCTTATCAAACTGTAATAATTAACAGTGATGGAAAAGAAGCCTCTCCTTGACCATTGTTCAAACTGATAATAACTTGACCCCTACACGTATGGTATACTGTACACAAGAGTAGTACTAGTAGTTGTGGTAGTAATATTAGTAGTGGTAATAATAATGGTAGTAGATGTAGTGGTAGTAGTTGTGGTAGTTGTGGTAGTGGTAGTAGTTATAGCAGTGGATGATAAAAATCTCTTAATTCAAGTCATCATAACTTGGCTACATTTTGTTTTTTTGCAGTGTTGCTCAAGGACCCAATGCGCTAGAATTGCACCACCAACCTGCGGGTCAGTGGATCAGGATGTTCATGTTGAGCGCTTGATTCAAACTGCCAGCCTTTGGATCAGTGGACAGACACTCGACCAACTGAGCCGCCGTCGCCATTTACTGAGGTAATAGGCGTTTAATAAAAAAAAGTTGAGTTCTTCAGGACGTTACATTTTATTCAGAAATCGGTTGGTGAGCTGCGACAAACACGGTACAGGCTGGAGACCTCTGCTCTACACTCATTTTCACCAGACTCATCTCGAATGGACATGAGTCTGAGGATACGTTTACACACAGCCACGTATGTTGAGAAACGAATATTTCCCTCCATCTGTTTTCCAAAATCACATCGTGCTCACAGCATCGTTTTCAGAAAAGTTTTTGTTTACATCAACCAGCATAAATACGCCATCGAGCGCCGTCAGAACTACATCAAACCTCTGGGCGGCGCCTGGATTAGATTCAAACCTGTAGCGTTTGTTTCATTACAGTTGAAAGTATTACTCAAAAATACTCTGAAAAACAACGGGCATTAGTGAGCGGGCTCGCCTCTCCACAGATCCGTTAAAGAAGTGGTAAAACTGCTGACCTCCGAGCCTCATTCGACTCGCTCGGTCATGGATATGAAACATCAGCTGTGTGCAAATGCAAACACATGAAAAGTGTTTGCACCAGAAGAAATGCGACTGCTGCTGCTCTGATGCTCCATCATCATCATCATCATCATCATCATCATCAGAGCAAAAGGGAAACTTTGGTCACCCTTTCGGCACATCAGCTGCCTAAAACTCCACTTATCTTACTTTACACGCAAATGCGAAACTGTACTTTTCCAGAATCTCCACCCTAGCCGGAGGTTTTAGAAAGATTCATTTTAACAGGCAAATTTGCCATTTGCGTGTAAAAGACGGGAACAAAGGGAAATGTCTCAGTTTTTTTAAACATTCATGTACATGTAAACAGGGCCTGATACAGGAGCCAGGAACTCAAGAGCTCATATCAGCTCCCTCATCAAGACGGTCCCAACAGAGGATCTACTTTCCTTTTAGTAGAAGTTGTAGTGGTAGTACAAAAATGAATTCCAAGCTTTACTTACCCCCTTTACACCTGTGTCCAGCTGAGTTTGAGAAACATTGTTGTTGGACTGTCCACTCTGTGAATCAGCCCACAAAGTACCGGAAAATTTCACCAAAACAAAATACCAGTGGACGCATACCAAGAATATTTGACACAGTTTAATTTTTAACATTGCGAAACTCTCTCTTTGAATTCTGTATTTTGTAGCATGTTTTTTTGTGAGTCACACTTGGTCTCTGAAGTTTTAGTTATGTGTGGAATGCAGATGGAAGGTGTGGGCAAAATGCTATGATTTCCTAAGATCTGATTACAATCAAGCATGATAAGAGGACGACAGGATGGGTAACGGTTAATATTTAATCACCAGAGACAAACCCACACGAGATTCAAGACGTCTGCTTCATTACAGGACCAGATTGTGACGTATACAGTATGAAAAATTATGTTTAAAGGAGTTAATCTGGTGATGACTGCTTCTTTTCATATTACTGTATTTTCCAGGCTGTTAGTTGCTCTGGACACACTGTCATTAAATGGTCTATTTTTGAACTTTATTCACAAATAAACTGCACTGGACTTTAAAGGAAACACAACAGTTGGATGTGTGAGTGGTTTTGTTTGTTTGTTCGTTCTCGGTGACTCTGGGCTTTGTTCCGTTGTGGCGTGTAGGGAGGGTGCTGTCTGGGACCAACGGATTGTCGGCGTGTTCGCAGTGACTCAGTTGTTCAGTCGTGTCTAGAAGTGGCACATTGCACTCCTTTTTTCGGTTCGTTCCTCCGTTCCGTTCCACGTCGGTGTGGAGTGATGAGTGTGTCTGTGGGTGTGTTTCGCCGTGCGGTCGCTGTGTTTGTGTGTTCTGCGGGTGGTGCGGCTTTGTAGTTTACTGAAGTGGATTCGTGTATAGGGCGCTCTGGATCGTGGGTCGTTTTTTGATGGGGTTGGAGGCTTATGAGTGCGTCTAATAGCCCGGAAAATACGGTTAATAAACATCTTAGTGCTTGTCAAAACAGGGAAAGATGAAAAAACAGGCCTTCAAAAACTACAGTTATAAAATAATAAATAACTACAAAATAAAAGTATTTTTTGTTATTTAAAGCAGTGAGAAATGGTCATTACTAGAACTGGACCTCGTGTTTTTCGCCCGCATAATGTGAGCGATGTTGGTCTTAATTTTCATTTAAATGGTCTTAAAAAGGTCTTAAAATAGTCTTAAATTTGGCTTAGTCAAACCTGGCGATACCCTGATGCACACTTGTAACGCACAGACTCCCAAAGTGCTGCGATGTGTCATTTTTCATTCTCTCAATTCCACTGGCCCCTCCAACCACCACCAGTCAAACACATACTAGACAATGCAGGTGATTTGGGATGCCTTGCCTAAGGACACAACAACAGAACTTGGTCCGAGCAGGAACTGATCCCGACATGGCAAAATACGTCAAAAAAATGAGTTCTTCACCTCAGATATTTACAGAATTGACTTGAAAAATATGGATTAAACCTCTTTTATTAGTCATAAAACATTACATAAGATTTACCAGGTACAATAGCACTTACCTGGTAAATGTGTGTTGCATTTTGTTGTATGAAAAGCGATCTATAAATAAAGTTTGATCGATTGATTGATGAGCGGAAGTAAATGGATGGATGACTG